AGTTTTACTAACTCGGCTGGGTCAGTTGGCGTTACTGTGTGGAGTTTGCATGTTCTCCCTGCATTTGCGTGGGTTTCCTCCGGATGCTCGGGTTTCCCCCATAGTCCAAAGACATGTGGTACAGGTGAATTGGGTAGGCTAAATTGTCCATAGTGTATGAGTGTGAATGAGTGTTTATGGATGTTTCTCAGTGATGGGTTGCAGCTGGAAGGGCATCCGCTGTGTAAAAACATATGCTGGATAAGTTGGCGGTTCATTCCGCTGTGGCGACCCCGGATTAATAAAGGCACTAAGCTGAAAATAAAATAAATGAATGAATGATTTAACAACAGACCGAGATTATAAATAAATAAATACTTTTATAATTTTGTAAAAACATTTTGTTTATATATTTATTTTATTTTAATTATTTTATTCTCACTTTTGTATTCATTTGTTTGTTTAAAATTAATTTGCAACATTTGAACAATGCAGATATGTTATATAATGTTTTTTTAATTTATTAAATTATTGTAATTCAATATTATATATGTTTGTTTATTCATGTTTTAGATATCAACGATTTGATTATGTAATCATGTTGTGAATACGAGTCTGTATTATTAAATTTTTTATCCTTTTCCTTCAAACATTTTCACATTTGCATAGGGTCTCTTTGCTGCAATTTGAACATCTCTGAAAAAAACAATTACACATCAAATTAAACAAGAAAATAATAATAAAAAAACCTTCTTGAAACCCACGTATAAAATATTTAATCTGTTTATCTTCATATCAAAGTGACCAATAATCAAAACTGGAATGTGAATGTTAAAGCTAATGACATGTGTGAGTTTTTAGAAAACAAATCTATAAAAAAAATTTAAGTTTAAAATACTACAATTCATGAATTATTTACTTCTAATTTGTAAGCATAGCTCATAATAAGAAACAGTATACTCTAATTATGACAAATATATATATATAACACAATATATAACACAATAAAATCTAATTGCTACATTTTGGAATCTGATTACGTACTCCAAAATACATGTAATCAGTTACAACCCAGCACTCTTTTAAACCATTCTGAGTATTCCTTTTAATCATGTCTACGCATAAACTGATGGCAATAAGCAGCCGTACTTTGAAAAGCCCATTACTTTAAAACAATTACGAACCTACGAAATGGGTTTATAAATCTGGTTATATATTGCAACCATTCAATCAGTGCATTTGTAGCTCATATTACCAAGTTCGGAGCATTCTTTACATTGCAAGAGGCAAATAAGCAGCTTTTAATGCTCTGAATCTACTCAATTGCCAATTATGTACATTAGAACAACGGTTACTGCAGTCAAGGGACAACAGCATAATATGCCTCTGGGACAGTGGAGATGCAGTCTTCAATCTAATTCTGCTGATTCTTGAAAACATAGACGAATAGAAATGGAGTTCATATGCTACTCTGGCGTCAATATTGTGTGGTTTAGCTAATGAACTCTTCTGTAAACTGAGCAGCGTAAACCGTTCTCTGCATTTTAGAGGTCATTTGCAGCGATGATATTGACTTTAGTCTAAATATTAGCCAAATGCATGTTATTTGTTGCATGACCCACCTACGTTTAACCTAAATGATCAATCTCACCTCTGTCAATGAGAAAAGGCTTTAAACTAGGTTACGTTCAACGGCCATATACTGTAGAGGGGTGAATAATTTACAATACATACCAATGAATTATTAAAATATCTATTAGCAGCGCACATACTAAATAGCAGTTAGCGCATAGCGAGAAAGGTAATGCGAATGTTCACCTAGAGAGTTACACATCATGCTGTCCCTATTATTGCAGAAATTATTAATCATCTTAATATGTGTCTTCTGAGAAATGCTTGAACGGGGTGATGAATTGTTGCATCTGAACTCTTAACAGTGAACATTCCTTCAACAACAAACACAATATCTGTGTCTATAAAGGTTGAAGAGTCCACAAGGGGTTTTCAAATAATTATCTTTGTGAAAACCAAAACCTTGAGAAGGGCTATGCGAGAGCATGAATGCGTTGCGGTCCACAATAGCAAACAATCTTGTGTACAAACATCTTTAAGAAATAGCTTTTGAAACCCCGATCAACAATCAATAAAATGTAAGTACTTTTAGATGAACGGATTCTATAGAACTTCTGGCCTCTAAGTGTGCTGGACTATCACGGTTCAAGTTCCTCTCCTGAAAGGCTGGTTTTGTTAACAAGGACATTAAACAATCAGAACAGATTGAAAATACTTCATAACATTTAAGGGACACTTCAGCCAAAGTGAGTTTTCTTTTATGGTTTAATCACCATCGTGTTGCTACAAATCAGTTTGTCTCTTTTTAGAAATAACAAAAGGAAATGTTTAGACACACAAAAAAACTATTTGAAAGTGAATGGTCAGTGAGTAAAGGATAAATAAATGACCATTTACAGGAGGACTATGCTTTTAACTGCACAAACTGTAGTTCTAACATGCCTGAAAATATAATTTAACATTGTTTTATTGATATTTTACCCTGGTGATATACAGAAAAAGATATAATCTGTATTTGTAGTCAGAAGTAATTGCTTTTAAATGAATCAATAAACAAATAATGCATAAATGTGAGTGTTTATTTTAACAAACAATATACACTAGTGGTACACAAAGATTAACTGCAATTAATCGCATCCAAAATAAGTGCTGACAAGGTATGTGTATTATATATATATACACACACACACACACACACACACACACACACACACACACACACACACACACACACACACAGTTGAAGTCAGAATTATTAGCCCCCTTAATTTTTTTTCTTTTTTATAAATATTTTTCAAATGATGTTTAACAGAGCAAGGACATTTTCACAGTATGTCTGATAATATTTTTTCTTCTGGAGAAAGTCTTATTTGTTTTATTTCGGCTGGAATAAAAGCAGTTTTGAATTTTTTATGAACCATTTTAGGGACAAAATAATTAGCCTCTTTAAGCTATATTTTTTCTCGATAATCTACAGAACAAACCACTGTTATACAATAACTTGCCTAATTTCCCTAACCTGCCTAGTTAACTTAACTAACCTAGTTAAGCCTTTGAATGTCACTTTATGCTGTGTAGAAGTGTCTTGAAAAATATTTAGTTAAATAATATTTACAGTCATCATGGTAAAGATAAAATCAACCAGTTATTAGTAATGAGTTATTAAAATTATTATGTTTGGAAATGTGTGGAAAAAAAATTCTCTCCGTTAAACAGAAATTGGGGGGGGGGGACAAGCGGTCTAATAATTTAGGGGGCTAATAATTCTGACTATATATATATACACATACACACACACACACACACACACACACACTAACATAAAAATAAAACTATACAAAACAGTCTTGTTACATATAAGTTTAGATTGAGATAAATAATTTGTATCATATACATATATATTTTATCTCTAAATGTAAACATTTTCTCAAATATATGCATCCTTGTTTATATAAATATACATAAAACAAACTTATGAAATAATAACTAATATATACTAATATATACAATAACATATACACTGAATATATTTTTGTATAATATATAGTATACTTAAAATTTTTATAAGTCAATCAATTAAAAGATTGTTTTAAAGGAATCATTTGCCCCAAAACTAAACCTCTGTCATCATTTACCTATCCTTGAACTCTACTAAACCAGTTTGAAACAGAGGATATTTTTAAAAAACGCTGGAAACCTGTAATTATTGACTTACATAATATTGTTTTTTTCCTACCACAATGCGTATGTAAATGGTTACAGGTTTCCAACATTCTTCAGAATATCTTCTTTTCTGTTCAACAGAACTAAAAACCAAACATACATAAAGCGTGGGTAATGCTGACAAAATATAAATTTTTGAGTGAACTTCCAATTAAAACAGCAAATTTCTCCCATAAATACTGTTAATTAGTAACTAGATGGCCATTTGTAATTATTCTGACAATTTCAGTACGACAATTAGACAGATAATACACTGAAAGTTCTCATTACAAGCATTCATTTTAATAAATAAGTATATTTTCTTTTGCGCTTAATATTGTTTTTTCCTATCACAATGTCTATGTAAATGGTTACAGTTTTCCAACATTCTTCAGAATATTTTCTTTTATGCTCAACAGATCAAAAAATCAAACTGATTTCAAAACAAATTAAGCATGGGTAAATGATGACAAAATATTTATTTTGGGGTGAACTACCCCTTTAAACTACATATTCTTTCCATAAATACTGTTAACTAGTAACTAGATGGTCGTTTTTATTGTACTGACAGTTTCAGTATGACAGACAGACAATATACTAAAAGTATTCATTTCAAGTATTTCAATAAATAAGAATATCTTCTTTTGTGCTTAATATTGTTTTTTTTCCTACCACAATGTGTATTTAAATGGTTACAGGTTGAGCTCAACAAAACAAAACAAAACAAAATTCAAACTGGTTTCAAAACAAGTTAATCGTGAGTAAAGCTGAAAAAGCATTAATTTTTGGGTGAACTACCCCTTTTAACAGCATATTTCTTCCAAAAATACTGTTAATTAATAAGTAGATGATCATTTATAATTGTTCTGACAATTTCAGTACGACATACAGATAGGCAGACAGCTAGTATACTGAAATTACTCATTACAATAAAAAATAACAGGTGCTGATAACATTGAGTAAATCAGCTGCTCATTCGACAAGACGTTTTCAGGCAAAATAAAAAGCCAAGTTTACGGTGCCGTTTTAAGGAAACCGCGTTATTGTGTCGTTATTAAGTCGTCTCATGCTCGTTCATGAGCATTTTCTTTCTTTTTCTGCCTGTTCCCTCTGCTGCAAATGAAATACCAGAAAACATGCTGCTCCCTCCGAGCCCGCCTCTCCCTGATACCGATTGGCTAAGACCTGCAGTCATACACAGCTATCAATTTTGATTGGGCGATTTATTGTCAGCCGCACAGGAGTCTTGCGTGCAGCAACGCCTCTCTCACATGTAGATACGATTCATGTTCGCCTCTCTCAATCAGATACTGCGATTGGACGCATGTGATCAAGGGTGCGGAGAAAATGCAATTTGCAATTGGCTCGTCTGCTTCAAGGAGGGGTTAACCGAGATAACCCGGAAAAGAAGACAGAGCAGCGACTCAGTTCCGAGACCGACTGTGAAACTGTCAGTCTTATCATGGGTAATTATACTGCATTTATTTGTTCTAGTCAAATCTCAGTTATCCAGGCGTTGAGACAAAAAATAAACGAATATCAAGGTGCATTTAGTTTTGAGCAGGACAGCATTGTCTCTCTCCTGTCAGACTTGTATGAGATTTACGCGTGTTTCAATGCATAATAAACGAATTCCATACAGAATTGTATACAATGTTTATTATTTGTCATAGTTGTCGGAAACTAGACTGTTCTAGACAGAGCTAATATAAACGGAGGTATATAGCTTACAAAAAACGTTGATCCAGAATGTACACAGTCGTCAAGAAACACATTAACGTTACTATATTCGTTCACTGTTTGTATAAGGAACTTGTCCAAAGCTCATAACGATTTAAAATATAATAATAATAGTAATAATAATAATGATGATAAAAACGTCCATTATAATCATAATAATGCTATTCAGTGTCATCTTCAGGTATTATTTTAGATACCCAAATTCACACATCATTTAGTGTGTTTTGTCATTTGCAGATCATTTGTACTCCGAGTTGTCCAGATGTGTTGATGTCAGCGTGGGGGAGATGTTTACTTTGTAATTAGTTTGTTCATTTTCACCAGTTTGGCCCATTCAGGTCTGTTTGCACACCTGTTTTGGGGTCCTACGGGCACATTGTGGAGTGGGTGCATTACAATTCCTTGCAAGACTAGCGCCACTAAATATGCAAATTTTGAACTGCAAGTACTATAGACAAAATTGATGTCTTAGCTTATTCTAGGTATGCACAACATGAAAATATTAGTGCAATTGATTAAGCAATACCAATATGACTTGGTATATATTGAGAACGACTTGCTCAGTCTGGTTTTCAGTCATTGTCTTAAGAAAAAAAAATTCTTTTTAAACTCCTAGATTGTTTTTGTCTGATTTCTACTAAATCAAACAAGATAATTTTTTGGCCATGCTGGCATAAAAACTTTTAAATTGATTCATAATAATATGCAAATAAATTTGATATAGGGTTTGCCAAGTGGAGGTGAGACTTCATCTCTGGAAACCTTCAGCATAATTTAAAATTTAGTTTTTGTTATGAAATTTATAACCTGTTGTTGACTGCACAATTTTTGGCACAGTGACATTAAGTGGCCAGGTGATGTGAAAAGTTGTTGTTTTTCCTTATAACTTGTGAATGTTTTGGCCAAAAATCTCTATACTGGTCTTTTTGCTAGCATGCCAACAGTAGCCATGTCTGCATCTCATTGGCATATTGTTGCAAAACTTTTTTTCTCCATGACTTAAAAGTACAGAAGGTACCTTGTAGTGATTGGTAATGGGTACTATTTTGCCCATTGTCATGAGTAATATCATCGTGAGAAATATTCTGAACAATTATGGAAAATTAAGTGAACTTCCTGTCCACCATTTTGATTTTCTTCAAAAACTCCTCCTAGAGCACAGATGTTAAATCCAGTTCCTGGAGGGCTGCAGCTCTGCACAGTTTAGCTTTTACCCTAATTAAACACACCTGATCAAACTAATTAAGTCCTTCAGGCTTGTTTGAAACCTACAGGTAAAGCTGCAGTCACACTAGAGTTTGTGTGTGACGCTGCGAAAAGGGGCGGGATTAAACAAGCTTATTAGACATTTTTAAAAGCCAGCGATTGCTTCATGTTTTACATTTCTGTCCGGAGATGTCATGTTTTGGTTCTCGATTGTTCTCACGCAGTCAAGTGATGCGATTTCGCAGATCAGAGTTCACCAAGCTTGAACTTTGCACTGCAGCAACCTCAGAAACTTGACGCATGACCCTGCGTTTCTGGTCTGACGCATTCGCGTGCATAAGAATGGAAGTCTACGGTAGGAACAGCCCAGTGTGACCGCAGCCTAAGACTTGAAGCAGGGTTATAACTAGGGCTGCACAATATTGGAAAAATCTGACATTGCAATGTTTTGTTTTTCTGAGATATATATTTCGATATGAATATAATTTCACCACATTACTTAAATAGATCTGTTTGTTAACAGTTTAGATACAGAAATTGAAAAATCTAATTTAAATACTACTGCAAACTGTAGGCTTCATTGTATAAGCAAGTCAATAAAATATTTTTTATTGAAGTTTCAAATGGTACAATTCCTTGTAAGTGAATGGTTTAAAGGGCTATGACACTTTCGGTTTTCGGAAGTCTACTTCAGAATTTTTTCAAAAGATGCATGATCAATGGGCGTGGAGCTCCGCGAGCATAGGGCAGGAGTGGAGTGGCCAGCAGGGGAGAAGGGGAGCGAATAACAGTTGTTGACAGTTAGCTCACAAACTGAGACACAAACCGTGAGGAGATGAGTTTATAGATTACAAAGTTAAAATGCAAAGAAATAAACAGTAATTTAATGCCCTGCTACATTTGTTATTCGTAATTTCATATACACATAACCACAATTTATATCATTATAAAGATAAGTGTGTTCATGTAAACACTATAAATGAGGATTCTCCCTCGATCCCGTGTCTAAATTATAGATCTTGAATGCAGACTCAGTGCAGCTGGTCTCCTGACCTGTCTATTTTAACTATTAGCCCTGCTGGTAATATAGAGGATTTAGGCAAACACAGCAGCACGGCGATGTGTCTGAATGTGAACGAACTCCTGATAAAAGTCAACATCCGCCATTCTTCAATTCTCGCACTGCTCTCCCGACAAAAATGCTTGCAGCACGCACACAGCTTTGCTGTATGATCGGCCCTAACAGGATCGCGGAGAAAAAGCATGCAACAAAACCCGTGGATCATGGAAACAAACACGTACGAGCCTTCATGAACGGCTACTGCGTGCCGTTGGTCTGTGTCTCACAGCTATCTTGAAACTGGCAGGTCTGCCTTCGGAAAGCACATGCTCTCATGAATAATTAAGCAGCCGGCTCTTCTCATAGGATAAGAAAACTCCGCTATGAATAATAATGAGAAACCGACGCGTCATCATTGCACTTGCAGTACTGCGCTACGTCGCCGATTTTGATCCCGCCCCAAAAATCATTTTAAACCCGGAAGCTGAAATTAGCTGACAAAAGCTCAAAATGATCCAGTTTTCCCCACAATTAAAGCTGACAGGTGCTAACATTGTCTTCACTGATGCTCAACACACACAAATCTGTTAATATAAAAAAAAGTTCTCCAGGGTGTCCTGAACCTTTTTCCTCTCTTGATATGCTCATACAGTCACAGGCCTTAAAATCATTTGCAATTGCTTTATTATGATTATGACAAAACTCCAATGACTTCATGTTCTGAACTGTGGTTCCTGGTCCAAAATAATGCCAATTCAACATTGAAGATCCTACAGTTTGACTATTGCGGATGCACACATTGCGATATTGATGATAAATTATATTTATATAGTGCAGCCCTAGTTGGAACTAAACTTTGCAGAGCTGCGGCCCTCCAAGAACTGGATTTGATACCCGTATCCTAAAGAGTTAGTCCAATTTACAACCAAAAATTTTACTCTGATCATCTTCAGATCATGATGGCAAAAAGCTATGGATTTTGTGTCAATGTGTTTTAGTTAGCACATGAAATGAGGCTGAATCACACTTACATTGGATGTGTCCTATGCTATTGTTGTCTACGGAAAGAAATGCGTCAATAGAGCCACCATTTTAGTACAGGGTAGCGCTCCTTTGAAACTATTGTGGGAGCAAGGTATAGTCGAGGACTGGCCATCTGGAGCCATAGATATGTAAACATTTCTCGATGATCAAATTTTTTTTTTAAATTAGGAAAATAATAATTTTACATCACTTTTCAATTTAGATGGATAGTTACCGCATGGGCAATGTATTTTTCCCTCCCTGTTAAATTTGATTTAATCCATGGACTGAAATGCTAAAACTCTCCAGCTTTCACTTCTAGTTCTAACCGAGGGAGCGATTCGTTTGGGATCGAGTCTGTTTTGAACGATTTGCCTTATAGTCATTGCAGTAAGTGACTGTATTATCATTAATAACACGACTTTAGCCCAAAAGTTCATAACATACAAAATCATAAAAAACTAAATCTAACCCATGAAATGTTATGTGTTTATGCTTTGTTTGCTCATTACTACACCCATATCCTGCGCAAAAGTCCAGCGTCTTCAGATTAGCTTTACCCTTGACTAGTGAAGTTTAATGACATTTGTCCTGGGAGCACTGTACAAAAATGACAGCGTTACTGACTCGTGCTCAGGGCCTCTATCTGATATTTAGTGTATGTATTTACGACCACACCACATCAGTTAAATTATGCCACCAACTGGTCAAAAGCGGTAAACCATTAAATCATATGAGATAGAGGTGATTCAAATCATCCTGTTGTGTATTTAATTATTGATTTTTGCAGTAGCTCCAGTTCTCCCTTTAGCTTAGCTTAGATGCTTAGAGATAGTGTTGGGTCGATTGACGATGCCATTGTCCATGGCCAACAGACATCATGATGCTGAGCCGGCATCGCGATCCCCTGCTCTGTCGCAGCAGCAACCCGCTCAAGAAAAATACACTCTACACAAATACGACTTTGTTTTAAAATGGTATTATAGAATGAAAACTATCCACGTCCACACTGACATTTCATTGAGCATTTCTGAAAAGCCTTCCTTCCACACTATACCGCTGAAAATGCACGTCACTTGACCACACACACTCTGCAGCTTATGTGCGTGTTTGACTTCCAGCTGTCAACGGGTGCTTTGAGCCCAAAACCCCAGCGTCAGTACAGTGTCACATGCATCAGTTCATGGCTTTAATCTTTCGCTTTCACGCTTGTACTTAGTAACCTCAGATACTGTTGGTTGTGCACCTTTTTTACCAACCAAGTTTGTCGACGCCATTATAATAATACAGATCACTCTGCCTATTCATGCCAGAGTCCCGTGGAAAAAGTGATTGACAGGTGGTAATTTGTGTGTAACTTATCTATATTCAGTTATTTATGATTTGGGTATGGGTAAAACAAAGACCATGCAGGTCAGGTAATTGAAACGGTAGGCT